TTAAATTTTTACGTACCTATTATATTATGTTATGTTATTTTATTATACAACTAGATTCCGGTGTTTGTCATCCCGCCTACGGCGGAAAGACTGTGTGGGCGGTGGTGCATCTTTGTCGGCTATGCTGGGTTTTTTGATCCAGCCTGCGGGGGGAAGGGGGGTCGTCGGGTATTATGTTTTGTCGTGTTGGCAGCACTTTTTAAGCGGTAATTTTTGAACTCGGAAGAGTGTCTAGTCGTAAGTCACGCGATTCAAGTCGATCGTAAGACACAGCCAGCCAGGTAGGCAATCCGACTACGTCGGATCGCAGACCATGCCCCATTCGTGTGTGTGTTGAAATCGGAAATTCGGATTCTGGGTTTGAGTGTCTAGCTATCAGTCATCTCGGGTAAAAGTCGATTCCCGAGTGTCGGATGCAGTGGGGGACACTGGGGGTGTAAGTCGCTCGTATGCAAGTAGCTAATCAGGTAGGCAATCCGACTACGTCGGATCGCAGACCATGCACCGGGCGTGTATGTCCGGTTCTCGTATGTGTGTTGAAATCGGAAATTCGGATTCTGAGTTTGAGTATCTAGCTATCAGTCATCTCGGGTGAAAGTCGATTCCCGAGTGTCAGATGCAGTGGGGGTGTAAGTCGCTCGTATGCAAGTAGCTAGTCAGGTAGGCAATCCGACTACGTCGGATCGCAGACCATGCACCGGGCGTGTGTGTCCGGTTCTCGTATGTGTGTTGAAATCGGAAATTCGGATTCTGAGTTTGAGTGTCTAGCTATCAGTCATCTCGGGTGAAATCCGATTCCCGAACGGACAATCCGCCTACAGCGAAAAGTGCTCGAAACGGCCGTTCAAATATGAAAAAGTATACAGGAGGTAATAAAATTGTATTTGTTGATAATTATAGAGAACAGTTATCAGGTGTTTTATGTTAGGCTTCACTGTAATCAATGTAATCATTGTTATGTTTTCGCGGTTATAACAAATAAGTGGACAAAATCTAATTTTCTGATTGGATATTTTCTAAAATATACCTTCCATGTATATTTATTTAATTATGAGAATTAAGTCAAATTAACAAATAGATAATTATATTGGTGAATAACAAATTTTATTGAAATGTACTACTATCCTATTAAACGTAGGTATCTATAAATGAATACACTACACATACTCTCGTTTCCGACACACTACTCCACCCCGGGACTCGAATTTTCGAAAAAAACGGCAAATGAAGCAGTCATATTACAGTCGTACTATTTTTTAATATAGTATTTATAATCTGTAGCAGTATTTAACCAAATCGGAATCACGTAAAAACTGTAATATATCAAGTAGGTACTACACGTAGGTTAGTTATATTATAATGTATTATTAAAAGAAACATGTAGGTGCGTCGGTAAATGTTAATTATAATAATTTTTTTGCCCAATAAATATCGTCAAACGAATAATAATAATATATATAATATAATAATGCAAATTAAAAAAAAATTTTTGTTAAAAATGATAAATGTGACGAAAAAAAAAAACGCAAAAATAAGAAATTTGATTTAGTACGGCCGCCGCAAATAACCGAAAATCCCGGACGGCGGTTTCGAACCCACGACCCTCGACTCACCTATCCTAACGCCTAACCAACCTAGCCACCTACTCAGATGAAATTTCGAGGCAAATGTATGACTCTTAAGCCGCGTCGCCGTGCTCGCGGCGATAAAATAAAATTCTTATCACTTTCCTTATCAATAAAAACAATATTTAAGAAAATCCCAATAAATCCTATCAAAAACTCAAAACCCCGAGTTTCCCCTTGGCGAGGTGGGTGTTAGTACTCTCCCGGACCAAAATCCATAAAAAAAGCAAAATCCAAAAAGGGGGGGAGGAGGTGCCCCCGTTCCCTAAAGCGGAAAACGGTAGTATTCATAAAAAGAATGGGTTCCCCCTTGGTCCGAGGTCTTTAACTTGAATTCCGGCCGAGTTATACTCAACTCAAAATGTGGGGGGGGTGGGGGCTTTGGTTCCCTAATGTTGAAAATTCATCTGGGGCCTAAAAAATTGAGATGCCCATTGGTACGGGGTCTCTAAGTCGAATACCGGCTAAGTTATACTTGGTCAAAAATAATTACTCGTTTAATGGGTCCCCCCACTCCGCCCGACGGTCGCGGGGTAATCGATTTATAAGACGTTATTATCACGTCAAAAAATTGAAAAACACGGGTTTTTTTTTAATAATAATAATAATAATGTTCGAAAATGTTCGTCGATAAGGAAATGGGAGATAAGCGAGCGGAATTTATAGCGAACGCGCGGGAAGTATTGTGATTGGTCGTCATGGAAGAAACGCGGAGTGCCGTGAGCGCTCCCCGCGGATCTTATACGCGTTATTAGCGTTTTATTATATAAGACAGCGGTTCCCAAACTTTTTTCGCTCACGGCGCCCTTTTTGAACTAAACTTTTCTCAAGGCGCCCTTCCCAAGACATAGCATGACTAATCATAAAAAATGAATAAAAAACAAATAAAAACCAGACCATTTTTTAATAATAATACAAGAATATTTATTTAATTTTAGTTATATACTTTTTACACATTTTAATTATTTTTGAAGATTTACATTTATATTTAGAGGTCGAAATAGATAGGTATAAAATTAATGTGATGGATGTGCTTGCATATCACTGCACATTTTTTCAAATCTTGGAATTAAACAAGACACAGCTACTCTCATTTCTTTTTCAACATTGATTTTGGTTCGATACTTGCTTTTTATTACAGCAACCGCCGAAAACCCAGCTTCACACAAATATGATGTCGAAAACGGAATTATGATTATGCTTATTATAATTATACTTATGATTCGTTTCCAAATGGCGCTTCAATTTACTTGGCAACATGCATTCTGGTGCTAAAACTTTCATACACATTACACATAATGGTCTTTCTTCACCATTCACTTCTGTCGAAGTAAAACCATATTCCAAGTAATTGTCATCATACTTCCGATATTTTCGTTTTTTTACAGTCGGGCTGTTACTGGTTGAGGGTATACTTTCCTCCTCTTCACAACGTTTATGACTGTTCAATAAAAATCGATCCATGATTTAAAAAAAGTCACAAAATTAACAAATTTTCTATATAAAAACGACGAACACGAATACACGATAGAGCAACACACTACGCGAGACTGGCGGTCATACTAATCCGAAAACAAATTTTATCAAACGTCTCATAAAGTCATGACTATGGTCTAAAAATAAATTTAAACTCATTAATGGTGGTGAGGATAATGCGTCAGAACCGATAACGATAAACAGTTTATCAGTTTTGTGAAGTCGGAGAAAAAAAATTATTTTTGTCTACCGATATTATAGTAATCGGTTTTGTCGCATTACCCTCGCCGCCGTTATCGAGTTAAAATTTATTTTTAGACTAGGTAAATTTCTACGGCAACGCGGCGCCCCTAAAAAGACATCGCGGCGCACCAGGGCGCCGCGGCGCACAGTTTGGGAACCGCTGATATAAGATATAAAACATTTTGTTATTTCTTCATACAAATATTCTCTAAAGTACAAATCACGTATAATGCAAAAATTAAATTCGGTCGTACTGTCTTATATAATAAATTATAGCAAAAAGCCTAAGGATATATTAAGTATATATACTTTTTGTGTATAGGTTCAAAGAAGTGTCTTTATTGAATCGTTAATATAGGAGTGTAAAAATTTAAATTTAATTATGTTTTCTTATAGACGAACGATAATTAGTATTGTAAATGATGAATGATGATTTTATAACTTGTACCTATATAAATAATATTGAGGTAATAAAAATATATTATTAATCTTTTGTGAATAGTATAGTATAACCGTGCATGAACAATAAAAATATAATGATGAATATAAAAAGATATTTATGACTTCATGCGCAATAAAAGAAACGATGACAATTAATTCGAAAAAAAAAAAAACAGCGGAAAAATTATAAATATGAAAAAATAATTAATAATAGGTTCACACAATAAAAGTCAGACTTAAGTAGTTTTTGACAATCGCAAATAATTATAGGTACCTAGTTGTTACCTGCATGGTAGATAGATATATTATTATAGTTCAAACCTAATCTACCTATCCCAGGAGTATTTATTTCGATACAATTTTTTAATAGTAAAATCTGATCCAATATAAATCGTTATAGACTTTTAAATATTGTTGCGCGTTTATATAGTATTATTACATTGGTCATATTATGTTGTGTGAATGTGTGTAGAAAATTGTTTCTCGTCGTGTACATAGTCGTAGTATTATTATACTGTTTTAATACGTATATTATGTACACAGACATAAAAATAAAAACGCAGTAAACCGATAAACCTGTCCGTTTAAAATACAATAAAAAATATATAAAAAAATTAGTCGTATTGAAATCATTGTACGCGGGATTTATGATCGTAGTAAATATAATAATAATAATAATAATAATAAGTGTATACAACCAATAATAAAAATATAAAAAAAAAAAAAAATGGTAATAATCTTAAACGGTACGCTGTAAAGAAAATAATAAAGTCTAGAAATAAAAACACATACACACACACTAGCTATTATATACGCGGTGGTGATATGTATGTGTAACAATATATTATTATGTTATGTATGTATGGTACAAAATGGCTCGTAATAACAACCGTTTAAACACTGATAACGCCGTCGTAAACGGGACATTTTAACAGAGCCGTTTGAACCGGTGATATTAATTTTTATTGCTCATTGTGCGTGGCTACATAATACTATTATTATTATTATTATTATTGTAGTGGGAAAGACGCCGTCGCCGCCACCGTCGACTTGCAGCAAATCGGTCGCAATAATAATGATAATAATATAACAATAATAATAATTATTATATTGTTATTATCTTTTGATGACTCGATTTCCGTGTCATCGTTGCGGTTGTATCCGCCGTACAGCTGCAGGTCGCGACGTTCGTGCTCCCAACAATCCATGATAATATTATATGATTATTTTCTCATTCCGGTGCGGTCGAGTCCCTGAAATCACATAAATATATTATTATAGATATTTTACAGGTGCAGTACGCAGACACTAAGGCAAGCTATACAGTTTTGGCCAAATTCGATCGTTTATGCTATAGGTATTGTACATTTTTTTTAACCATAAACAAGTTAATACTTTATAAAAATATACTACAGATGTAAAAACATGTAAAAAAAACATATTACCAATGCCAAACCAGTTCTGAATATTATATAAAAAAAAATAAAATTACAAAAACAATGAAACTTATTGACAGTAATTATATGCAAAAACATACAATAATGCAATCACAGGTCTGAGACGACCACACAAATAATAGTAACTAATAGTTTTCTGTTATAGACAATATTATAATATCTAAATTTAAATGGTTATAATATAATTCAAATATAGATAACACGCACAATGCATTTACGTAAGACCTTCGGGCTATAGCAGCTATCACATATTATTTAATAAAAATGTATGTATATAAAGTATTATTGTTTTTTTTTTTTAATCATCCCGTATACTTATAGATATTATAATACCTATATAATCGCTCTGTACAATATGCAATATACATAATATTATAGTATAAAATATAATAAATATATAATTTTATGGTCTAATTGTCAGACGAGTAATGCAAATATAATTTACTTGGTCTTATTACATGAAGAGTTTTTTTTCTATTATTTTAAAAATCTAGAAAGCTTATCAATTTTTAGATCGGCGGGGGGTGGATCTGTATCGGGAAACTAGAAAAATAACATATAAATTACACAGGTGCCCGAACAGCTTATAACTTTCTATCGTTAATAAGACGTATATAAGGCCGAATTCAGGGCTATATATCATGTGTCGTGTCGTGTCGATCAAATTGTGATTGGCCGTTACCATTTTGGTACCATATAATAACCAAGTTGCAACAGAGTAAATATAGGTCCTATACCAATAATTGACTACAGTTCAAATTTGGTTATCCTTATGGCCTTACCTTTCATAACCATATACCTAGGATTACCACGCGTCCACGGTGCCCATGTGCGACACGATACTCGACGTATAGCTAAGTGAAAATGCACCTTAATAAACACAATGATAGTAACCACATACGCGGTATAATACGGTACAAACATCGGACTGTAGTACCCATACATATATTATAATATATTGTTCACTCGTACTCATCGTTATAAATATAATTATAAATTATACTGCAGCGCAGGTCTACACGACGATTGATAATATACGCGCTGTATATAGTTCCGACCGGACGTTCATTTTTTACATGGTGTTTTTTTCTTTCGTCACCTTTCGATCACGAAGAGTGTGAAAAAAACATTTTTTTTTTTTTTTTTTTTTTAATAGTAATAGCCATAATATATTGAAAACCCACAGAGCAACGGCCGAATACGTACGCAGTAGTTTTGATCGCCGCAATAAAATAAATCTAAATATTATAACATTCTCTGCATATTTAATATTTTATCTACACTACCGCACGTATTTATTATTATAAATTATTTATCCTCAATTTTTATGCAAGTAGGTAGGCACTTAGATATTTTTATATATGTAGGGATACCTATAAATAACACTCAATTGGGTACCAATATAACATTATGTAGGTATAACGGAAGTGACCGGTACATTGTAAGTGCTATGTTTACTCAAGTATTTTTTTTACAACACTAACGATGTACCTATATATATCGTGCATTTTTTTTATGGATTTAAATTCATCGTAAACTATTCAAATTATTCTCGTCGCATTGCATGCCAGCTATACGTATTATAGTATAACGACGTTCGAATACATCTATATACCACCTATAATATATAGAAAAATATCTCATATATTATTAAAATTTATAAGATATTTTTCTGTACGGCACGCCGTTCTTAAGTATATCAAAATATTTAATATTATATTAATATTATTATTTTATTATTCCGCCGGATACCTGAGTCCGCGGCTGTATAACGACGAATCAAAACTAAAATATTATATACCTAATATTATAATATATTCGAAAACATAATTTTACATCGTCCATATCACATATTATATACCTACGCATACCTACTGTGAATAAACACAGTTTGAACAAACTACCATTATATATTATACATTATATCATATAGGTGTATTAGCAGCACCATGTATTTATAATAATAATATGCATGGACCTATATATTATACATGTATATAAAACAATATATTATAATACTTGTTTCGTAAAAAAAAAAAAAAAAACAATAACTTATAATATTTTTATTACGCCGTTCGACAGATATATTATCACCGTAAAACACTCGGGATAAAAATATTTAGTATACGCGGAGAAATGAAAAATTCGAGATATTATTTGTATTTATAAACAAGTGGACCTCTGCTGCGCTGTAGCAGCAATAATAATGGCCGCTATATGGGTCCCGAGTCCCGCCCCGTATACAGACACCGATGGTAATCCTATACGCTCGCCTCGTTATATATATTATTATAATATACTCACACGCACACGTCCAAAGAAATATATAATAATCAGACTATTGTTGTGCCGTGCACATACTATTATTGTTATTATCGCCCTTTGTGGTCATCGGCTCCCCCCCACACACCACAACCAAAAAATTTTCGATCCCGGACTTTTTTGTGTACTCGAATTTAGGTCGACTATTGTGTACCTACAACGCGCGGTCGATAGAAAACTAAATTACAAACCGTCCTCATGCTATTATTATATTATAATATCGTATATAAAACGTGTTCGAATACCTGTGAGTGTGTGTACGTGTGTGGGTCCGATTTAAATAATTATTACTATCGTTACAATAGTTGGTACATACCTATTTCATATAGTACACAATTTATCATATTATTGTCTAATATAATATTGCTAATGAATGTGATAATCACAAAATATAATGTAGCTACCTATATAGATACCTACGAAAAAGAGGACCACTTTAGGTATACACTGCATATTATTATTGCGTTTTAATATATTTTTTATGTAATATTAACATATTATGTATGTTGGCACTTGGTAGTGAACGACAAATATTTGAGATATTTTAAGTAAACCATTTAATCGCAATCCATTATACTTGTTACCTATTGACAGATTATTATTTTATGCTCGACGATGAGTTGTTTAAGATTTTTGTGTTTGCTGAGCGAGTGTGTTGGATAATATTATACAATAATATCATTGAACTTGTTACAATTTATTTTAATTATCGCTGAAGATAATAATAGATAATGTCATTGAGTTCGAATGACAATATATGTTTCATCTATAATCTATATGTATAGAGTAATGCATATTTAAAAGTACTCGTCTACTATTTTTCATTATTTTATTAAATGTTATTTTAAGGCATATAAAAAATAATTTATAAATATCTCAATAACACAATAACTATATGTTATTGAAAATTTGAACATTGTGACCCGACCATAATAATAATAATGCATGATCCTCAAAACACATTTTATGTTGAGTTCACACTGTTTAGACAGAATATATTATTTATCACCACTAAATTTTCCTAGAGAATTTCAGTAACGTGTAACGTCTATATGAATTTACTATATCTAAATAATATAAGTTTGAATGAAATTAAGTATATGTGCTCTATATGCGTTTAGTAATTTATATACACATTTTAAATATATTTATATATATAAGTATAGCAGTGAAATTTTGAGTAAAAACAATGCATGTGTGCGAACATAATATTATATTTTTGACCCATACATTTAAAATCAAGATATATACCTAGTCGATTTTTTTTCAACTATAGCTTATACTTTATACTCTGTACCGACGTACCTAAATTACAAATACTATTGTGCTATTATATTTTATAGACTTAATTATATGTAGTTACAATTTTAAAGTTTTAACATGATCTCGTAGTAATATTTTTGTATAATGTGACATTGTGGCATTGTGAATACAATTTTCTTAAATTCGCTACAACTTAATTTGAAAAAAATTGTATGATATAATAATAATAATATGATGCGTGTAGTGTAATAAGTTGTCTAACATAGTAGCTACCGACATAATTTGGCGTAATAATATATACACATGTTCCGTCGTCATCGACGCGAGGAAAACCATTTCCATTTATATATATAAATTATACTTGAGGCACGCAGCGTATACAAAAAGCAATTTTCATTATTAAACGTAGCAAATAGTAGTGCGCCGCAGTGGTGTAATAATAATAACCGTGACGAGAATTGTGCGTATATACAGCACGACATCACCGGTCCTCGCACACACACACACACACATATATGTATACAGAGTCTGAGCCCGGCGGCGGTAGAGGTCAGAGAACGACCGGCGTCGGTATGGTGGCGGTGGCAAGGATGAGGATCGCGATTTGTGAACGGTGGCGTGAGTAAGGGGGTGAGTGGGCACGAACTGCGGGTGAGAACGATGGAGGGGGTGCAAACTTTGTTCAATTTCCGACGAGAGCTCTTGGGGGGAAAATCCATTGGCCGGGCGCTCGCGAGAGATACGAGTTAGAGACCGCACATCAGCGTTAAAACCCAACCCGCTGCAGCCTCCGTGCAGCGGGCCGACCGGTGGACCATCTGCGTCCCTCTCCCGCTCGCTATATATACCGCCGTCTCCCTCTTTATCTCGCTCTCTGTCACTCTGTCTCTGTCTCTCTCAGTCTCTCTCTGTATCTCTCCCTCGCTCTGTCTCTCCCGCTCTCTGACCGCCCGCGCCAACGTGAGCCCCTCGAATTCATCCCCAGGGAAATACTGCCACCGCGCCGCCGTGCGCACATTTTCCCGTGATGGAGAGTTTTAATAAATTAAACCGGCCGCGGGTCTGCTATATGAAGTATAAGCTCGCATTTATATTATAAGAGACGGATTTTAAACGGAGGCTCGGGACAAACCACAACCACGGACACGAAACTTCACGGAATATTAGATTATATTATTAACCACGCGGTATAATATAGTGCTGAATAATGT